GTGCTTACATCTTTTGATAGCCAACATTCTTTTAGATCTGCAGTTTGGCTCAACACATTCGAGTCTTAACACAATCTTCTTTGTAGTTTTAGCCTGGAGGAAAAGTAACTCTTCATAAAACAGACTACACACAAATTTCCTTCAAAAACCCCGCAGCTATGTTGAACTAAATGCTACTAAGTTTTACACATGATTAAAGCTGTAATAATCTGTCTTTAGCCACAAGACGAGAGAGATCCTAACAATTTCAGTGAATTAGAAGAAAACCAAGATTTCCAAAGGTTAACAAGTTACCCAATTTCCATATAATTCTACCACCGAATTTTCAGATTATACATCCTAAAAAGCTTCCTATCAGCTACTCAGCAGGCTCTACTGCAGTTCTCCATAGTTCAAAAGTATTCCAGAAAAAAAAAATGGGCCAACCAGTCCAGGACATTAATAGCTTTTTTAATTCATTAGTGTTTAAGCACTACTTTACTAATCCTGAGACTATTTACAATGCTTGGAATTTACATATTTTATATGGATTCAATAGAATTGTTTAATATTTAACTCTAATCTCAATTTTTTAAGCTTGTGGTTTCCAGTCTTACTGCTAATTTGCAGTTCTCAAAAATGCAAAAACCTATTTAGAATCTCCAGCAGTACACATGGCTAGACTAACTCTAGAGAAAAGGAATGCAAAGTCATTGCCTTTAAGTGAGTTTTCAAGACTGTAAATGGTAATGAAAGGAGACTGCCCATCTTTCCCTGCTGCTGCACGGAAAGGGCAGCCTTTGGTAGCAAGGCAACCAAGGAGGTGGCAATTTCAGGGCAGTATCAAAGAAGAGAGTTATGTTCCCATCTCTATTACCTACGGGTAATGGACCTCTTTTAAAGTGTTACAAAGGTATCACTGCACTTAAGTGTGACTGACCTAAGCCATGGGTATTTGCGATGGCCTCAGATGCATGTTAAAGCCAGATACTATAAACAAATCTTGTTGAGATGGAAGTGACCCATAGCTGTCCCTCCGGTGGCTTTTCAGAGGCAATTAATCACACAGAAGATTGGCCTCGAACTAACTGCGTGCCTCCAGGATTGTAATGTAGCTTCTTGCTACTAGGCCACCGGAGTGCCCTAAAAAAAGCTTACTGATATATAATTTATAGTGTTACAAAACAACACTACATATACCAAGGACTGGTAGAAGAAAAAGCCAATCTGCCTTGGAAGAACTGCAGTCATGTTTCCCAGAAGGGAGGATAGCATGCATGTATTTTAAGACACATTAACAGGATTATCTCCAGTGGATATCATGCTTACTAAGTACGGGGTCAATAAAATAGAGGAAGACCCTCAATAAGGAAGATTGAAAGAAAGGTCACAGACACTGATTGTGAGGATGGGGACATACTGACTGCAGAAAAGAGTTGCTGAGTCAAAAATGACTCAATAGCAGGCAACTTAGAAAGCTTTAATACGCTTATGTAGTAGAGGTGTGAGGACTACTGACAGCAAATTCATGACCCACACCGTTTCCTGGAAAACCTGTCAAATAGCAATCATCACTAACCTTTTTACGAAAAATTGGCTTGGTCTGCCCACCATAGCCACTCTGCTTCCTGTCATAACGCCGCTTTCCTAAAAAGATAAAAGTTGCTTATAGTACACCAAAATGCCACACAATATACACACATGCGGACAGGTTATCTGAAGGTGTGTATCATCGACCTTCCAATAAAAACTGTGTCCAAACTTGGGGGTGGGAAACCCTAGGCCATTATTAACTACACACCTGCAGTCAATTACTTCATTTTATTTGGATCTACAATCACCACCCATCAAAGCCGACAGCCAAGAACCAAAATTAAGTAAAAAACCTTACCCTGGGCATACAGAGAGTCTTTGCCCTTCTTGTACTGTGTCACTTTGTGGGGCTGGTGCTTGCCACACTTTTTGCAAAAAGTCCGGCGAGTTTTGGGAACGTTGACCTAGCAAGCAAACAATTCACATTGTAACATTAATCAAGCCGAAATAACATGAATTCCGTTTAAGCCTTTCTTTGTTGACGCGTAATACTCCTAGAACTATGTAAAATGTGGACCAGCACCACAAAACGCGCCCTCCAATAGCCCCAAAGGAGGAAGGAATATTAGTTTCACCCTCGAGAGCTAAGTCTATTTTGACCCATCAATTCAATTCTTGCCCACAAAGCCCCGGTCCTTTGGGGAGGCAGATCGGGAGAATTCGGTTATACATAGAAATCACTATCAATAACAGAAGATTAAACTGGATGTTCCCAGGCACAATAATCAAGCTCCTACCATGTTTGCAGGAGCCCTAACCGCTCGAAAAGGAGGGGAAAAGGATCGGAAGCGGAAATATATACAAAGTTCTTAATCGCACTTCCTCATGGGAGTCAGTGAGAGCGACCATAGAGTCCAAGCCTCCGAGAGCAGCGCCGTCCGGTGGCTCAGAGGACTCGATTCAGAACAGCGGGTGGAAATTTAAGGAAGAAATGTGCTGAAGAGAGTCTGATCTACTTCCTCCAGCCCCTAGCTTTGCAACTTTGCATCCCTGTAGGTGGATGCTACAATGCTAAGTGACGGGAGAAGTGAAGATCCTCTGATTACTTTGTTCCCAAGACAAATGGACTCTAGGATCAGGTGAAGGAGGCCCTCCACTACCATGTTCAATTTCTTTTTCACCTCAAGAACACCAATAACATTTTGCAGAAAAATATTGTTTCGCTGAAAGCGGCAAAACTCATGAATTTTTAATCCTCATAGTGACTGTATATCAGGTTTCTGAGGCTCTAAGTAGTAATGGGAGGAGATTGCCAATCTTTTTCCCATGAAGCCACCGGTGCCCTTGACCATTTGTTTGGCAGCACAACTTTCTATAGACTGTGCCATCAGGGCTCTCTTCTGAAAGCTGCTTATTGATATTGAGTGGGAACAAACTCATTACAATAAATTGAGTTTCTAAGGTTGTACATCACAAGGGAGGAGATTGCTCATATTTCTCCGGTTAAGCCATTGCTGGGTTTGAACTGCTCGAAAATCATAGATTTTGGGTTAGCAGTGCAGGCCACCAGAGCTCTTGTTGCTGTTATGTGCCAGCAAGTCGACTGTAACTCATAATGACCTTATGCACAATAGTTCTGAACCCTACCCTGTCCTGAGCCAATCTCACTGTCTCTGACACACCTACTTCCATTACCCCAGTTACTGTGTTGATCCATTTCTTCCAGGGTCTTACTATCCTGCGCTGTCCCTCCACCCTTCCAAGCATCAGATCTTTTTCCAAGGATCAGTCCCTCCTGGCCATGTACCCGAAGTATGTGACACGGAGCTACAAAATCCTTGCCTCTAAGGAGAAACTTGGTTTCCCCTCTTCAGGAAAGAACTGTTTTATTCTCTTGGCAGTCCATGGTATGTTCAATCCTCTTCTCTAGTACCACAACTCAAAGGCCTCAATTCTTCTTCTGTCATCCTTAATCATTATCCAACTCTCAGATGCATAGCAAGCAATAGAGAAAACATAGATCAGGCAGAACTGAGTCTCTAGACTGACTTTATTGCTCTTCAACACCCTGGAGTGGTCCTTGACAGTAAATTTTCCCAGTGTTCATTGTGGAGCCAAAGAACCTAAAACTGTTAACTATCTCAATCTCTTCTCCATCTATCATGATGCTGCCGATTGGCCCAGTGATGCGAATTTTTGTTTTCATGATGTGAATTTTTGCTTTCATGATGTTGAGTTGCAATTCATATTGAAGACTACAGTCCTTGACCGTCTGCAGCAAATGCTTTAGGTCCTCCTGAGTTCTGGCAAGCAAAGTTGTGTCATTTGCAAAGCACAGATTGTTGATGAGTCTTCTTCCAGTGCTGATTAGTATTCAAGGTCTCAACCTGTTCTTAAGATGGCTTTTAATGCTCCAGCTCATCAATCTTATGGTCCATTAATGCAATATTTATTGACTACTTGTTTGTTTTAGGCACTGTTCAAGAGGAGTAACACAGCAACCAGATAATACCAAATAAACCCAAATTTACTGTCATAAAGTGGATTTGGACTCACGGATCTTCATGAGTTTTA